GGGGGGGGGCACTGCAAGGGTAGTTTTATTTTTTTTGTTTTTGCTTTTTCATTCCTTAAGTTCATGATTTTACAGTATGTGCTATTCTGATTTCACAGAGGCGAAGACGGATTGACAGGAGCATGATTGGAGAGCCAATGAATTTTGTCCATACTGCTCATGTAGGATCAGGAGAGGCCAATACTGGGTTTCCAACGGTAAGGAAAATGGTGCAGCTGTTTGCTTGTGTGCTTGGTTAGGATAGTCCAGAGCAGCTCACTTCCAGATTAACTTCCATGGCACTGTATGGTCTGGGCTGACTCCTAAACATGATCGTTATATTAATGCACTGGGCCATTATCAATTATATTTTCATGGCTATTAACCATTAAAGTGGACTTGAACTCAAAAGGTGAAGCTTGCCATGTTATAGGGAACATATAAAAATATAAATTTTACCTAAACGGTATTCTAAAAATGTGTCTGTTTGTCTTGAAGTCTTCCTGAAAAATAGCACTGCACTTCCTGGTAAGTGAGGGTGCCTAGGCGCTCCTGTGTCTTCAGCCTCATAGCTGTATATCTGCAGTGTGAGATAAAAGGCACAGCTGCCTCTGACTCTAGTCTCTCCAAGATTTGGAATGTCAATTAGTGAGGTCACTGCTTAGCGGCAGGGCTTTACTTCCTTATGTCAGAGCCTCCTGCAAGGAGAACTGTAGGCAGGGCTACACTTTACTACAGATTAGTAAAGTTCCACAGTTGGAACTTTCTCAGATTTCAAGTTGAAATAAGAACAATCATGCATATTCCCTAGAGATCCGAAAACATAGTTAGGATTTGGATTCCAAAAGAAAAAAAAAAAATCACAACTTTTGGTAGTGGATTAAATTATTATAAATAAACAGCAATGAGGCTGCCTTGCTCTTTTAGGTCTATTGGAAGGGAAATGCCCTCCTAGATGTCAGTAAAACAGATGTCTCCATTGGAGTTTTTCCCCATACCTGTTTTAGTGACAACTCAAATGGCATTTTGTCACTTCCTGTCCAAGTGACACTGGTCACTAGGACAAAGAGTGATTGCATCTCCCTGTACAGTGTGCTTCATAGTGTGTTGTGTGTCACAGAGAAGAACCTATACAGTATGTTGCTGTGTGTCACATATGGTATTAATGCCACCATCTGCTGGCAGGATGTGAAACCGGAGGCATTACTTTTCATTTGACACTTGTATGTGCAAAATTTAGTAAAAAGTTATCCTAAAGTTTTTAGCTGTAACAAATGCCAAAGGTGGTTCTACCAAGTATTGACTTTGGATGGAGGTTGCCTACCTTTTTTTGTTTTTTATCTTTTGCATCAACATTAAAATTGGAACTATTGCACTTAAAGTTTTCTCTTAGTCCCACAAATACCTATTAAGTCTGACCATTGAAGTCCAGCTTCCTGTGATAGTGTGGCAACAATGCAGCGCTGCTCCTGGATTCAAACCACAGTTGCCACTCATGTAGACTGCGCATGATTGTACTGAAGGGAGGTAAAAATATCAATATTTTCCATGCTCTTTTGCATAACTGATTACATCCAGTTTAAATTTTGCAGAGTAAGACAGCCGCTTCCTGGTACCGGTATTTACTGGTATTTTTTTTTTTTTCTGAAATTTTTATGGGCTCCCTGTTGCATCTGGGCACTGGCTACACGCTCTCCGCAGCATCAGCTGACGTCAGGTACATAAGGCTCATGATTGGAGGAAACCTGTCTCTGCAATCGGAAGTTTCACTCGTGAGGCTAGTTTGCAGAGGTATGGGCAGTTTCGCAACTGCGGTACTCCTCTCGGCCCCCTGTGTATAAGACGCCCCTCCATTTTTAGGTAAATATTTTTAAGAAAAAGTATAGTCTTAAGGTGCCCATACACTGCACGATTCTCGTACGAGAATCGCGGGAAATCCCGCGATTGTACGAGAATCGTGCAGTGTATGGAAGGCGTGCGACCGTTTCTACTGTACGGTCGCACGTCTTCCGTCGAACCAGCATGCTAGAAAACCCGCCGGGAATCGCACGATTCTCGGCGAGTTAGTGGCCTGCTGGTTCGTCAACTGCCGAACGGGCCGGTGTGTGCCCGTTTGCAGTCATCGTAAGCTCGCCCCTCAGGGGGGCGGGCTTGCGATGATCGAGAGTACCATCTGCCTGTCCAAGATGGGCAGATCGTACGTTTTTTTAAGTACTTTACAACCATCGCAAGACTAAGGTCTTGCGATGGTTGTACAGTGTATGGCCACCTTTTATACATGGAAAAATACAGTATTGCACGGGGCAGTGTAATTACCATTGACCAGCCAATAGGAATCCGCAGAGACAATCAGCACCTGGCTACAACTGCTCCTGCTCACTGCTTTGTTGATTGGCAAAATTGCCTCTGTTGCTGAAACCCTCCCACTGTGAGCTGTAACATCTGGGAAAGGAGATGGTGGGACACAAATGGAGGATTTGACTGGTGGTATAGGAAGTTTTTTTGTTTACTTTGAAGATTGTGTATCACACAGTACTTGGGTTTGGGACTTGTTTATACTTGAGCCTTTAGGCCTTGTTCACACCAAGCGTGTTCCAGGAGCAGAGCAGTTACAGACTGGATCAAAACTGCGTCCAATGTATTACAATGGTATGTTGGGCTCTAGTTCACACCGCCACGTTCAGTTCCAGAGCATGTAAAAAAAACTGCAGCAACCCTATTTTACCTGCTCTGGAATGCATGCAAACTCATCAAACGCATGCAAACGCACTGAAAGTCCATTTTAAATTAAAAATGTTTGGTTAACCAAAAACGGCCCTGAGCGCATTAAAAAAAAAAGCGGCACAACCCACTGCACTGCGTGTGCAGAAACTCATGCAGATCTGCTGTGCATTTGGTGTGAACAAGGCCTTAGTTGTACTTTAATACATGTTAATGAAAATGAGGAAAAGTTTAAGATGATGACTTCTTTATTCAAAGCCACGCATGTCTGCCATAGGGAGTAAGTCTCATATTGTGTGTGTTGAAGAGCTATTTTTTTCATATTTATCATCTGTTTTCTTTCCCCCCAAAGGGTGGTTCATTCCAGGATCAGATGAAATCAAAAGGAGGCTATGGACCTGGCATCACAGAAGTGACACTTTAGCAGATGTATGTATGTATGTATGTATGTATGTATCTGAAACATTTGTTTATCCTTAAAAAAAAAAAAAAATTATTTACAAACTCCAGGATGCACATCACTTTAAATGTTTGTCCCACTCAGTCGGAGGAAGCAAACTGCTATAACAATTTATCATAAAAGTTCTTACTTTTGTTGTAATCCTTGTTTTTAGCTGCCAGTGATGTCACAACCTCCTATTAGATCAGTCCTTCCTGCAGCCAGTGGGAGGATCTAGGTAACCAGTGCGTGTCATATCCCGGCATAGAGAGCTGACTACATCTCCCATGAGGCATTGTGAAATAGAGAAAGTGGGAGACGTGAATAGGCAGAGTTGAGGTTGGAGATGGGAAGAGTGCAAAGTATTATTCTCCAGTGACTAGTTTTTTGCTGAGTGCACACACAGGGAATAAATACATTACAGGTGCCTCTGCATAACAAATTCCCCTGCTTTTAAGTCATCCTACCTCCCCTAACAGTCTAGCAGGGGATCTGGCTATGTGGAATAGTGATGTCCAGTTCATGTACAAATTGTTTTTTTGAAATGGATGAAATGATTCATCTCGCCTAACTGATAACTGATTCATTCGAGAGGGTTCAGTGTTGAATTAATAAGACAGCAGCTCTGATAATATGATGTAAAAAGTGAGAGAGGTTGGCTTCTGCCAGCCTCTCCCTGCAACCAATCAGCCAGCTAAACGTGCCAGAGCCCTGCCCAGTCTGGGGGGGAGGGAGGCGTGCCAGAGCCCTGCCCAGTCTGGGGGGAGGGGAGGCGTGCCAGAGCCCTGCCCAGTCTGGGGGGAGGGGAGGCGTGCCAGAGCCCTGCCCAGTCTGGGGGGAGGGGAGGCGTGCCAGAGCCCTGCCCAGTCTGGGGGGAGGGGAGGCGTGCCAGAGCCCTGCCCAGTCTGGGGGGAGGGGAGGCGTGCCAGAGCCCTGCCCAGTCTGGGGGGAGGGGTGGGGGGAGGCGTGGCAGAGTGATGTTTTTTATATATTCTTTCCAGATGGAATGTAGTATTAGGAAAATACTGTTATGACATCTAGATGGAGCTGAGGAGCATTGGGGAAGTATTTTTACTGTGCTCCTCTGCTCCATCTAGTGGCAATAATGCAGTATTTTTATGATATTACATTTAGCTTGGAAAGAAAATCTGCTAAGAACGTATGTTTTTGCATCCATTTGCAGGACGAATGTTCAGAGTTTCACAGGACAAATGGCTCTGCAAATTGTTTGTAAATGCAACCCTATCTGTCTAATTCACATACGCATGGCTGCTTCGCATTTAAAAAAAAAAAAAGTTTAACAGTTGTGTACATTAATCAGACCCTTTGAAATGAATAGGGAATTCAGTCTTGAATAGTAAGGCTGGGTTCACACCTAGGCGTATTAAATATGCGTGTTACTCGTTTTTACCGCGATTCGCGGTAAAAAAAAACGCGCGACAAACGCCCGTTTCCGAGGGCTACTTGGCTGTATCCCAATGGAAACGCGAGACCAAAACGCCCCAAAGAAGTACATGTACTTCTTTGGGCGTAGGCCGTTTTGTATCGCGTTCGGACGTGCGGAAATACGGCAAGGTGTGAACCAGACTCATTGAATACAATGGGATTTAGATGTTTTGAGCGTTTTGTAGAGCGTTGAACGTGCTTCAAAACGTTCAGGTGTGAACCAGGCCTAAGCCTTTCTGGGTGCCTGCATCACCATTTTGTTCCCCCCTGGCCCCCTTCCTTTTTGGACCATTTCAGCAGCATGTTCAAAACTCTCATATGTTAACAGAGGATGTTAAACCTGCTATCATTGTTTACTATGTAGCTTCTAGTGCTGATCTCATGGGAGTTTTTTTTTTTTACATGCTGTGGAAACACTGATGACATGGGGGTGGTAGATTGGTCCATTATAAATACCTAGTTTTGCACTCGCAGTGAGTAAAGCTGAACTCCAGGCAGATATAATGGGCACAAATGAATGCAAATCTGTAATAATTTTTACTTCTTAAATATTTTTAATGCAAAGACTTGTCGGCACCTGTATTTGACTTGGTATCAGTCACTTGCAATCTACTGTACAGCAGAGCTCAGAGAGGGAAGGGGGGAAGCAGTGTGAGGAGTCATCAGGTGTGCTACAGTGCAAAGAGCATGCTGATTGGAAGAGAGCAGACTGACAGATGAGCTAATCAGTGTGCTGCTTCTCCTTTCACTGTCGAGTCACAGGGTGCGACTGGGTTGGAGACTTGTAAGTGAAAGAAACTGCAGGAGAGAAAAATCAGGTTGCCTACCCCGACAGGTGGGATTGTGCTATGTGGCAGAGCTGTCTAAATCTGAGAACTGGATGAGTATAAATACAAATCCTTTGGCAGGTAAAATGGCTCTGATATTTTATCTGAGCATTTACCTTTTTTTGCCTGGCGTTTGACTTTAAATATAAAGGGTTAAGATATTCCTTGAAGTGGAAATGTATAACTTTTTATGTTAAGTACAGATTGTTTCAATAAACTGTTATGTAATTCAATGATCTACTTTCCTTAGGTTTGGATTCTTATCCTAATCGCTGTACTTTAGTCACCCGCTTCATTTTCTTTGATGGGTCATAATTTCCCAGTGTTTGTTTTAAAAATGTGTGGAATGTCTGAACATAAAGCTGATACATTGTACAACATTCAGCCCTTGTTCCGTCTAATATGGGCAAAGTACATGTCGTCGTCTTCTTTTACAGCAGTAGGTAGTGTATACATTTTGTACTTG